ATGTTCTAATCACTGATTGTGTATGTCATTTTTAATAACTATTGAACAGTTCATAGGTTTCTATTCATGTTTGTGTTTGAGAATTCAACGTATCATATTCTTGTTATAGAAATCATGTCTAAATTATAATCTGCAAGAGTGGGGAAATTGACATAATTGCAACAAATTTAGCCTTTTGGGGCTTTTTGTCACCGTTTATTTTTTATTTTTTGGCTTTGTGCCTTTTTGCCACTGCTTTTTGTGTTCTTTGAGCGCTCTTCCAGTGTGCTTTGGCCTGCATGCTCGCTGCTACTCAATCACCATGAGAAGATAAGCCGTCTAGTCTCATTAGCTTTTGTTTCTTTCTTCTACATCAGTTTCTTTTCTTTTCCCCTTGATAGTTTTGTTTTGCCGCAAAGCCATGTCAGATGTTGTCTGCACCAGCTTTAAAACCCGATCCGATCCAGAAAATTCTGAGTATCGGCCAATTCCGATCCGATCCGATACCAGCGCAGTTTTTTTTGTTTTTGTTTTTTTATCAGTGTAGAATTTCTATACTTCAGTGTGTTGACCTGATCGTCACTCTTTTGTGTGTTAAACACAGTCAATACATTAATGAAAACAAGTAAATGTATTTATATATAAATATAAATTATAAAATTAAAAGACATTTCTTTTAAATGTAGGCTATAAAAATTAATTTATTAATTTTACTTGTGAAAGCCATTTGCTTTTTGAGCTTTCCATGTTTTATTTTTCTCACTAGAGCTTTAAATGCCTAATAAATTATTAGGCGCGCAGTTCATGGGTATTTCTCACTCTAAAAGACACTGGGTTAAAAACAACCCAAATCGGGTTGTTTTTAACCCAACTGCTGGGTAAATATATGACAGAACCCATATGGGGTTAAACTAACCCAAGAAGTTGGGTTATTAATTTTAACCCAGCAAATGGTTTGTTTTTTTCTACCCAAAAATTGGTTATTTTTACAAAAATAATGGGTTAATTTGATTTCATAAATGGGTTATATTTTCAAAGGTAATTTTTATTTGTATTCCTTTTAAAATCATCTTTTAAAATTAAATATACCACATGATATAACAAACAGGTCAACATTGTATTAGCTTTATTTTTTTCAGCACATTACACTTTGTACACTCTAAAAAATGCTGGGTTAAATACAACCCAGTGCTGGGTAAAATAGGGACAAACCCAGCAATTTAATAGGCTATGTGTGCTGACAAACAATATAAAAGCGGTGCGCTGTCGCCCTTTCTACGTAAAAATCAGTCAAATCATGTAATGTGAATGACGTACAGTCTTGCTCGAGACTAAAAAAACATGTTGAAAGCGTACCGAAAGAGACGCTGAGGAAGAGGCACTAGCTGTGTGTCTTATTTAGAAGGCTGCGCCCTCCGGAGGTCGAATCCTCTGGAGGTCGCATCCTCTGTAGGATGCATATACGAAGTGTCCTCAACCTAGAATTAAACGAGACTGCCTTCGCAGGACAGGCGGAAAAGGAAACAGGAAGTTTCACGTTGCTATGCCAACACATTTAGAGCATCGTTGCGCTCTCATTAAATGAAGGAAAATTATTTCAAAATTTGGAAAGTAATTTGAAATAAAAAATGCTTTTACTTGTTTTATTTTGTTCAATGTTTGAGGAGCTGCAGCGTACATACACCAGACATCTGTTAGAGAAAAAAGAGGAGGATATTAAAAACAAAGTTTATCCGTTTTTACCGAGGCGATTTAAGGTAAGTTGTAAACACCACATCTGCGCTTGTGTGTACATCTGCCGGCGCCGGCATTTTTCAAATTATCAACGGTTGTTTACGGCGACGCAAAGAATTGTGGGTTATCTATAGCAGCGAAGGATACACCTCATGCATCCTCCGAATTCCTGTGAAAGAAGGTCGCATTCGAAGTGTCCTACTTGCTTTTCTGAAACGAGACAGTCTCGATGACGTATGCAGCCAGCCTCGATTTTGATTCAAACTCCCAACTTTTCTCTTTTATCAAAATGTGCTTTTTACCTTTTTTAACGTTATCTTTAACCCATTTAATCCCACCGGTCACAATTGTGACAACAATTTTTGCTCGCATATTTTTCTGTAGTATTAAAAAGCAACTCTTATTATGAAGCACATGTTCATATATAATAAAAATGTAAGTTGTCTACATGAGTTCAGGGCAGGTCTAACATGATTGGGTAGTTTGGCCATGTGACCATACACATTCATTTTCTGGTACTGCCATCTTAATGGAAGGATGATGTCAAAGCTCAGAAATGACAGGTAAGTTTTCCAAGTTAATGTTTGAATAGCTTATACATTTTTTGCATACATCATCATGAAAGGGTTATCTATACATACATATTGAAATTATATTATTACATGGTTTATTCTGTTGTCAAACTGCTGATAATTGAAGACGGTCACAATTGTGACCGGTGGTATAACACAGGGAGTCTATGTCCCCCATATGTCATTCTGTGTTATTCTGATGAACTCTCTTTCAGACTGACCTTAAGTCAAGTTTTGGATTTACTTGATGCTGATGATCCAGGGCCTGCAATTTGCAATATAGCAGTGGTCCCAAAGACAGAGAAGGATGCAATAGAAAGCGACTGTGATAGCGATGCATCTGACATGGATTTTACTGGTGACTCCGCTCACCTACCATCAAGAATCTTGAATTCTACTGCAGAACTGTTTGGATCTGATCATTTTGAGGAGGTTGAACCTGCCTGCGAGGACCAACCAAACTTCACAATCCGAACAAGAAGTCTCACAAAAAAGCTTGAAGCTGCTTCATCCTCTTTATTGTTATCTTCAGATGCTACTACTGCCACCATACCAGTGCCCAAGGCAGAAAGCATCTCTGCTCATCTGATTAAAAGGAACAACAAGAGTAGGCATTTCAGAAAGTCCAAAAAACCAGCAAAAAGCCATTTGCCTGACTACATTGTGTATGAACCAACAGCAGCACAATGTCTAAAGGCAACAAATGCAAATCCATTGGATGTGTTTTTAGCAATGTACCCACCATCTCTGAGACAGCTTACCATAGAAATGTCAAATCTCTACAAAATTCTGTCAGTTGATGAGAGCATGATTCCCTACTATGGGCGCCACGGGTACAAACAGTTCATAAAGGGAAAACCAATCCGCTATGCTACAAGGTTTGGAGCCTGGCATCCTCAGGGGGTTACCTCTACCACATGGAGCCTTATGCTGGAGTGCATACCCTTCTTCCAAAGACCGGGCTAGGTCAAGGGCCCAGCGTAGTGCTGGGTTTGGCTGAAAAAGCTGGTGTTCCAGGAGGATGCAACTTCATGCATGACAACCTCTTCACCACATTATCCCTGATTGATGAGATGACAAAGCGAGGATATGGGTGCACTGGGACCCTGAGGCAAAACCAGTTGTTTGATGTGCCATTCAAACCAATTAATGGATTCCAGAAGTTACCGAGGGGCTCCACTGAATTTCTGTCTGAAGGAGAAAAGCTACTGGTGAGGTGGAGAGACAACAGTGTGGTCACTGTTGCAAGCAATGTGGAAAATGTCTACTCTGAGGTACCAGTTAAGAGATGGAACAAGGAAAGAAAGGCATATGACTACCTCCAGCAACCTCAAATAATCCGCTCCTACAACCAGCAAATGGGAGGAGTAGATCTACATGATCTTCAGGTGTCCCGTTACCACAGCACAATAAGATCAAAAAAGTGGTGGTGGCCAATTTATGCCTGGACTCTCCACAGTGCTGTGGTCAACAGTTGGCTGTTCCACAGAGATGTCATGAATGGTGACTACGATCTCCTTGGATTTCAGCGAGTAGTCGCCCAAAGTCTCCTGAAAAAATTTGGTATTGCACCAAAAGGTCATGGGAGGCCATCCTCAATGTTGGCTGCTGTGACTGATATACCCAGGTTTGATGGTGTTGCTCACTGGCCAATAAACACAGGCAAGCAGATTCTATAAAGATGTTTTATGAACCATAACATCTGAAAATATGCTCCAAAAGCTATACAAAAGAGAAATCTCTGTCTAAGTATTCCTTTTGTTTAGCAGGAAATAGGTTTGTCAGATGTCATGTCTGTGAGGGTCGCACATCATTTGGCTGTGAGAAGTGTGCCAGGCCAATGCACATTGAGTGCTTCAAGAAGTTCCATAACGTCTGACGGAGGTGTCCTCTAATCCATGAGTTCCATACCAGCACACATTTGTGATTGTTTTTTTAATAATTCCACTGTTATGTCTGAGGGAGGGTTCATCTAATCCATGAGTTCCAAACCAGCACACAGTTGTGACTGTTGATTGATAATTGTTGTGACAATTGATTGATAATGTACATGCTTCTTCACATTGTTACATGTTCCTACCATAGGCTCATATTTCATCATATGTTTATTTATTCATTTTTTCTATTTTTTTATTCCTTAATTTTTTAAAACCTTAAGTTTTTTTTTT